ATCTCTAGGAAAAAAGATCTAATCAGCTAAAATATTTAAAAAATAAAAACTGAGACTACTGCAACGTGTATCACTCGAGTACGCAACGCCGTCAGCAGCTGCAAGATTGGCAGGAAGCTTTGTCGCTAATAGGAAAAACTGTTTGAATGCAGAGGTCCACGCAACGCGTAAATATAACTGACTGGTTCCTAGTTTGCTATGATGTTGTCATCCACAAAGAGAACATCTTAAGCTTTTCCAGTGAGACAGCATTCGGCCTTAATCCTTGAATCTGAAAAGGACAGCAGAGGCATGCAGCGTGCAGCCTTTAATGTACGTACTGTTGTACCATATTTGGACTATTTTCATAGGATACCATCCATTATGAAAATGCAATCACATCTGGGACATCCATATTTGGAATGTATCGACATATGATACCCAACCGATCGAAACACATTTTCTAGTGACATTTCTTGTGAATTTCCAAAGAAAATGTGTTGAAATATCAACTATGTGTGAATGTAATTTAAAAATAGTGAAAATATGCCAAAAATGTGCTAACTTTGAGAGTGGCTCACTCTCCGAAAAGCTGCTCAGAATCGAAAAAGTAGCTCAAAATCGTTCAAGTTGCTAAAAAGTTACCGAGCAGAATCTCTCTCGGCCTAGATTTAAATTTAGCTGAAACTTTGCTTTTCTTTCGGTTGTCTTTTACACTTAGCGTTAGTAACATCCAATTCCACACCCCGACTCCCTGCCCCACCCCACCTCCCGGCACGCACACAAGCCGTGAGACACAATCCCTCGTTAGCTTGGATGCCAGGAGATTTATCAGTAAGGCCATTCAACTACTCAGTCCCAAAAGGGTAAATTTGCTTATCAGCTTACCAGATTTTCTGTTATTACACATGCAATGAAATTGGGAGAATACTGTGCCGGGGAATGTTAGAAGAGAGCAGGTGCATACGCTTAAAATCTCAGTAATTAGTTACAAGAGCACGAAGTTACGCGTTCATCGATCAGTTTCACTGAAATGTCTTCGTTTTCCAGATCAGCATATCAAAGGCAACATTGACTAACGACACGGGGTACCTAACAAAGTTTTATACGGGGAGTCACTGCCACAGGAATGAACCCATTACCCATCTTTATACCATTTTTGACTGAAAAGGTGTCCTCTTTCGCGTACTTTCCTTTAAAAAATGATGTCCCTTAAAAAGTCACTTTTCTTTGCATCCCCTTAAACGGCTTTGAATGCCCTGTCCCTCTCTTTTTCTTTTTTATGAATTGAATTATATTTGCCCAATATTTCGGTCTGCAACACAAAACTTCAACGGGGGGATAAAAAAGAACAAAAAATGAATAGATGCAAGATGAATTCGAACGTTAGGTTACAGATGCGACATTTAAATATACATAGTAAACAGAAAATGATAGGCTACTAAAAAGATGCATGTCACTTTCTGAGTTCATTGATTTATACCACGGGGTTCAAATGCCGTTTTATTTTTGTTTTCTTTCTCTCCTTTTTTCTGTCACTCTTCCTGCCGTAAGGATCAGTTTACTGTTTTAATTTTAAAATCTGGTCAGTACTGAAGATGCTGCTGATCCAGGTCTACTAAAGATCCCGCTGACCTTCACTAGTTTGTCGTCGTAGTTTTGCCTTCACATAAGTGTCCGTGGTACTGAGCTGCCTGGGGCAGGAATTTCATCGCGCAGTCTTGAGTAATTAATATTAAGTATTCCGCCAGGTTGTCTTCGATGTTTGTACGAAATAGATGGGAAATTTATACCTCCTCCCCTCCAAACAAGGATGGGAAAATGCTGCGGTTTCATCCATGATTTGGAACGGAAGGGGGGGAGGGGAGGTTGGATTTGCTGTTTCATTTTTCATGATTCTGTCCAAGATTGTAGCTCCATGGGGTCTTGCTATTATCTGATGATCTTTTGGCTTAAAATAAGCATGCCAGGATCAGCAGACGAGATCTTCCAAAATAATAGATAACGACTGTGGCATAATTTTTTGTTTCTCAAAAGTTTCGTACTCAGTTCGTCGTACTTTCAACTAGCCAACGTTAACTGAAACATCCTTTTTACTTTTAGATTTTAGTTTTAGGAAGGATTTAGTGCATCTTACTTTTTCCTGTTACTTGAGAACTGTTCAGACACAGTGCTGCTGATATTACCCTCCCCGGCCTGCTGGAGCATCACCCTACCCTAGGACAAAAGTGAGTAACGCATTCTCCTTCCCGCTCCGAGCAGGTACTGTGATGTGAGGAGACCGCAATAGCCGGTTATATATATCCAAAACATAAATTTGTAAATTTGTTCTTTTATGTACATGAATCCAGTTGGTAGTAAGTTTGAAACATGTGATCCGAATGTTGTCAAACATTGACCGCCGGTTAAAATTAGGCTTTCGGCTGCCAACGGGCGCATTTTAAGTGAAATAATTAGGCAAAAGAAATGCAAATAAGTCAAGTCTAATTAATATTGCTCAACAGCAAAGAGCTTTGGAGGAATCTGGTCAATAGAGCATTTTTCATTGATGTAACCGCCTTCGAATGCCCTGACAAAATGGCGTGTTTTGACCTCAAGGGTCGCTTTTGTTTGGCGTTCAAAAATCTTCCCTTCAGGATTGCCCAAAAATTTTATTGCATTTATTTAAGGATGACACCTTGCTCTTTCTATCGGTAGCTAAGTTATGGCTCAAAGCCGTATACCAAGTAGTGATTTTTGGGTCTGAAATTTGCTAATTTTATGTCTGTCAAAAATCGGTAAAATGTTTGCTGTCGAATAGGAAAATTGTATATCCAAACTATTGGTTAAGATTTTCAGAGGTAGAGTTTGTTACTTCTTTAATTTTTAAACGATTTTAAAGTGATATATGGTCTTGAGCCTGTGAAAACTGATCTGAGAGCCTCCGAACCGACTCGGTCGCCGTACGCGTAAAATAAAAATCCAATCGAACTAAAAGTTATTTTTCTAGAAATAGTTTACCTAGACCTATATTCTGACAAAGTTTGGGGATTTTCGATTTTTTCATTTTGCACACCCCCAGGCGATATTTACGGACGGCCGCTCTTAAAGACTCAAGGCCTTGAAAACCATACCTTGTCTCAGTGGCACACACCCGTATACGCCAAATAAAGGAGTGCCCCCCCCCCCCCCTCGGGGCTTGTTGTGGGCCTCTAAATCCTACAGGGTCAAAGCGAAACGGATCAATCTTTCAGACGCCTAATGTATCCCATTTGCATGCAAGTTAACACATTCAAATGCGTGATAGATGCGCAGATTGAAGATATGTTTAGATTAAAGTCAATTACGTTTCGGTCGGCTAGCACTTTGCAAGTCCCTACTCCCACCCGGAAAGGAAAGCACCCCAATGGGCTTATTTCAAATTTACAACGGTTTAAAAATCCTTTCCGTCTTCGCTTAAGTAAGATTTTATTGACCAGCAGCTGGAGAAAACCCTCTTTTTCGGACCGGTTTTTTTCGCCAATTAACATAACATGGAAATGGCTGAAAATGAGTTTGCAACTTGTCTAAGATTTAGTTAAGAGTTCTGCATTTTTGTTTTTGGCGCATGATGCGAAACGATTTCAACCTTTCTTTCTTGCTTTGATTTATTTCCTTTGCCCTTCTTTCCATCCTCCACAGAGGAACAGAAAGCCTGTTTAAAGAAGTACGTAAAAAAAGACTTAACTCCGTTCTTCAAATTAAATCAACTCCTAAACCGTGCTTGCGCTCAAGCTTATATTTTGTATTTGTACCCTGATTTTGTATATATTTTACCACACAGATAAATTACATGATTAGAAAAACAAAAAATTACAAAGTGTAGAAAGTAATGGCGAGGAGGCCTAAGGGAAACTATAAAGCTCATGATGTTAACTAAGCCTCAATCATAAATTTTCGAAGATGAACCATACATTACGGCGACGGATACAATTACTATCAAAGGAAACTGATAAAAGTAACAATATATTAAGGAAGTTTACAGATGATGAATATTAAACAGTTTTTTAACACGAATTTCGGCATGATTTTAATCATGTTGCTGCACAGGTAGCCCAAGTTTACTATAAGAACCCTGAACAACATTATCCTACTTAGCTAATTACTTGTAAATACGACAACAGTTATAAGACGTTGTATGAAAATTATCCGATTTCTCCAAAACTGAGTGAAACGTGCATTAAATTTTTCCTTTTAGTATTTGGTTACATTTATTTGTGTGTTGACTGCGTTTCAGACCTCTTAGGATGCCAAGAACACGAAAACAACACTACCCATCAAGCTAATTAATTATTCATACAGCAAGAAAATTATAAGACGTTGTATGGAGAAATATTCTTTGCTCACTAAATTAGCAAAATGTCATTGAATATCGCTTTGAAGCTCACCTTTAACGTCTAATTGCTTTTCTTTGTATTCTGACTGTATTTCAGACGTCCTAGGCACTATTTAATGCCTATTTTTGAGCGACAGTTTTCCACCCAGATGACAGTAGAGAGAAGAGAAGAGAAGGTTGGCAAACCTCTCTTGACCGCCTCCGCTTTCGGCGGCGATAAATTCCGGGTTCTCATAGTAAGCTTGGGCTACCTGTGGTTGCTGCAATTCACATCAGCGCCTAAACCATAGTCGACTTCCTTATCGTATGTCTCTTAAAAGATCTTTGATTCTATTCTTAAAATGCAAAAACGAGCGCAAGTTTAAAAGTAAAGCATTTTACGTCAGCTATTTTCGCCTTTTCGAGCAAAATATTTTTTTCCTTGTTGGCGTAGATTGAAAAGTTTCTCAAAATACTCATCCAAGGAACACCTGCTATACTTAGTAAATGAAACTGCTGATTGACATCGATCGACTTAACAACAATTTAGAACAACAGAAGTTATTTTGCTTAAATCATATTAAGAGATCCTGTATTTCTTTTCCCTACATGTACAACGGTCATCAAGTTGTTTCTTGTTCCTTGATTTCTTTTTCCAAAGGTTCCAAGCCTCAGCGTTTTCTCACACATGGCCCTTTCAAAGAACTACACCGAAGAACAGCTGAACTACTTCAGAATTTGTTATATAACCACTGATATACTAGCCGAAGGCCTCAGAGAGCTTTTTAAACGTGAATGGGACAATCAATATAAATCAACACCATTGGGAGAATGGAAAGATGTGGCCCAGAATGGAACGGACTTTTACAACGGCGAGTCTCCAAGAAATCAAAGAAGAAATGCTCGTCTTTTGGCCACCATGATAAATGGAAACAGAGCGGAATGGGATTGCACAATGCTGTTTTACGCCATCCTTTACTCTGGTTGTGTCGGGCCCTACCTTGCATCAACAGTCAGAAACAATGTGGATGATCTTAGAAAATTTAGAAACGAGGAATTCGCCCACATACTACAGGGAAGTCTCCCTGAGATGGATTTTCAGAATGCCGTTGGCAAAGTTCATGTTGCGTTCCATGCGCTTGGTCTCTCTACTGTAAAAATTGATGAGATAAAAAATCAGAAAACTTTCCCAATGGACGAATTAGATAACATTCTGAAAGAGGTTGACGATGTTAGACAAGAACTTCAAGAAAAAGAAAACCAGCGCCAGGTTCTTAAAGACCAGCTTCACAAAGAAGCGCCTTCATTCTGTATTCTCCCTCCTAAACCTACACACGAAATTGAAAGCCGTGAAAGAGAAGTAGCAGAAATAGCACATCAGCTAAAGGAACTAAAGAAGGCCAACGAGAACAGGTTGAGTTATCTGTACATCTCAGGGAATCCAGGAAGTGGCAAATCACAACTAGCTGGCCTCGTAGCTGAAAGATTCTTTGATGAAGAAAAAGAAATACCAGGCACTTCCTTTGTGATGACCATAAACGCTGCCAGTCAAGATTCACTTTTGGAGTCATATGCCAATTTTGCTCGTCAGTTAAAGTGCCCAGAATTTTCAGTGATGCAAACCTTGAGCTTTAAGGATTGGAACATTGAGGACAAGATCGCCAATCTCAAGATGCTTATTGCTGCAAAAATGGGGTGTTACACGTCGTGGCTAATGGTGGTGGACAATGTGACTAATCTGACTTTTGTACATGATCACCTACCACAGTCTGGAACCGAGACGTGGGCAAGAGGACAGTTGTTAATTACAACCCAGGATACAAAGTCCATCCCATTAAAAAGCTTTTTCATCAATCACATTTCAGTAAGCCAAGGAATGAATCCTTACGATGCCACTTCCTTATTGGCCAAGCTTTCTGGGGTGTTCGACAAGGAGCTAGCAGAAAACGTTGCCCGGAAACTGGACTATCAGCCACTTGCTTTAGCAGGCGCGGCTGTGTTTGTCAAAGACATTCGACAGGACAAAGCATCGAAGCACTTTGGCTGGGACGAATACCTAAAGATTTTACAAAAAGGAAAACGAGAAACGACCGAGGATACCCTTGCTGACACCAACCCAATTTATCCAAATACGATGACTACAGCAATAACGTTAGCTGTCGAAGCACTAGTCAAATCCGACAAGATTTTTGAACACGTAATCAGATTTCTTTCCCTGTGCGCACCACAACCATTAAACGTTGACATAGCGGTTAGTTACCTTTTAAAGGTTCTCGAACACGATGATAAAGAGGACAAGGAACAGATTCGCAGGAGATTCAGAAGATGTTCACTGCTTCTTTTAGAGGAAGAAGGAGATAGTTGCTGCTACATTCGTGTACATCAGGTTGTGCACGACGCAATGAAATGGGTGATGAGTGAATGTACAGAGAATCAAACGATCAACGTTGTAAGTGAAGCTGTTACATCGTTTAACAAATTTATAGTCACAATTCCACACGAAAATAGAACAATGGAGACCATGCACATCATTCCGCACGTAAGTGCCCTTATTGGACCAATTAATGCAGTTATTATGGCAGAAAATATGTCTCAAGTCCATGTTCGGGACATTTCTGAAAAATTGTCGAATCTTGGCGACATATGTAAAATGCACTCTGAATTCAACGTGGCAAAGACATACTTGGAAAATTCTCTCGCTCTTCGCATCAGGCTGCTGGGTGACCAAAATGTCGATGTTGCATCCGGGTACAATAACTTAGCTTTAGTTTACATGGCCTTAGGTGACCTTGAACAAGCAAAGGAGTATCAGCAACGTGGTTTAGCCATCCAACTCAAGAAGCTTGGTGCTGAACATGTTTCTGTTGCAACAAGCTACGGTAACCTAGCTTTAATTCACAAGGACTTAGGTGACCCTGAACAAGCAAAGGAGTATCAGCAACGTGGTTTAGCCATCCAACTCAAGAAGCTTGGTGCTGAACATGTTTCTGTTGCAACAAGCTACGGTAACCTAGCTTTAATTCACCAGGACTTAGGTGACCGTGAACAAGCAAAGGAGTATCAGCAACGTGGTTTAGCCATCAAACTCAAGAAGCTTGGTGCTGAACATGTTTCTGTTGCAACAAGCTACGGTAACCTAGCTTTAATTCACAAGGACTTAGGTGACCTTGAACAAGCAAAGGAGTATCAGCAACGTGGTTTCGCCATCAAACTCAAGAACCTTGGTGCTGAACATGTTTCTGTTGCAACAAGCTACTGTAACCTAGCTTTAATTCACCAGGACTTAGGTGACCTTGAACAAGCAAAGGAGTATCAGCAACGTGGTTTAGCCACCGACATCAAGAAGCTTGGTGCTGAACATGTTTCTGTTGCAACAAGCTACGGTAACCTAGCTTTAATTCACCAGGACTTAGGTGACCTTGAACAAGCAAAGGAGTATCAGCAACGTGGTTTAGCCATCCAACTCAAGAAGCTTGGTGCTGAACATGTTTCTGTTGCAACAAGCTACGGTAACCTAGCTGCAATTCACAAGGACTTAGGTGACCTTGAACAAGCAAAGGAGTATCAGCAACGTGGTTTAGCCATCCAACTCAAGAAGCTTGGTGCTGAACATGTTTCTGTTGCAACAAGCTACGGTAACCTAGCTTCAATTCACCAGGACTTAGGTGACCTTGAACAAGCAAAGGAGTATCAGCAACGTGGTTTAGCCATCTTTCTGAAGAAGCTTGGTGCTGAACATGTTTCTGTTGCAACAAGCTACGGTAACCTAGCTTTAGTTTACAAGGCCTTAGGTGACCTTGAACAAGCAAAGGAGTATCAGCAACGTTGTTTAGCCATCAAACTCAAGAAGCTTGGTGCTGAACATGTTTCTGTTGCAACAAGCTACGGTAACCTAGCTTTAGTTTACAGGGCCTTAGGTGACCTTGAACAAGCAAAGGAGTATCAGCAACGTGGTTTAGCCATCGAACTCAAGAAGCTTGGTGCTGAACATGTTTCTGTTGCAACAAGCTACGGTAACCTAGCTTTAGTTTACAGGGCCTTAGGTGACCTTGAACAAGCAAAGGAGTATCAGCAACGTGGTTTAGCCATCCAACTCAAGAAGCTTGGTGCTGAACATGTTTCTGTTGCAACAAGCTACGGTAACCTAGCTGCAATTCACCAGGACTTAGGTGACCTTGAACAAGCAAAGGAATATCAGCAACTTGCTTCAGCCATCCGACTCAAGAAGCTTTTCTAACTGTTGGTGGTCGAACCCTGGAGGGAAAAAAGGTTAGCTAGGTACAGGGAGTGGGAACTGGGGCCCGTTTCTCGAAAGTCCCGGTAACATTTTTTTTACATAAAGAATAGGAGGGCGGGTATTTGGTAGCAAACTACTCCATTTTGTTTCATTAACTGATAGTTTTATCATCATATATGCAAAACTATTGAAACCTCGATCTTTAATGTAAACGGAGACAGCTTACCGAACAGAAAGTCAGGCAACAACTTTTTGTGTGAGCACATATACGGCATTTCCTCCATAAAACGTGCAACTAGTAAGTTTTATGTTATAGTTGTTCAACATCAAAAGGAAAGATATGTACAAAAAAGTGTGCTGCACAATTAGACCTTTTAATTTAGTTTTACCGTTTTCGTTGTCGTCGACGTTTAGCATTAGAGGATTTTATTTTTTGTTGGGGTAAATTAAAAGTATATTAACGAGAGTTTCGCTTTTAGTTCTTGCGAAATCTGTAGAATGATTATATCCTTACATGTGGGTTTTCGGATAAGGTCATGTCCACAACAACCCGTCTTTGACTCACGCACGTGCATTTTAGGGTATTGGTTTTTGGCACTAAGCAATCAGAAACGTCTATTTTCCGATATGTTTCTGCTCCCGGGCTTTTCTCGGACATATGTACTTCATACTGCGCTTGCGTCAACAGCACCAGCGGTATTCTCGTGTTTTCCCTGACAACACGGTCTGGCATGATAAGCTACGACGTTAGGGCTTTCGATGGCTTTAGTTTGAAAGCAGGGCCAAAATGCACAGATGTATTCGTTTCAAATGAAAAGGCATTGGTGTGGACGAGTTCTCACTGTGGAATAGTCGAAAAGGCTGCATGGGAAAGGAGCTTTTGATGCATTTGTCAACAAAAAGGGAGATTTTTCAAGGTCCACTCATTTGTGTGGAAGCAGCCTGAGGTCCAGATAAAACAGAGAGAATTAAGTTTGTTGCTATATTCCCATTTTATTTCAGTCACTCACACTTAAAAGTTCCAAGAGTGACCAACATCAATCTTCTCCTAACGATATCTATACATTCTCAAGATCTTAGGTTATGAGAATTAACAATATAATCACTTAAGAGAAAATGTTTCGATCTTTTATCACATTCTTTCAACTAATTCTTCAAGGAAATATGTAGAGATCAGTTTGGAGAATTTGTATGTGGATATTAGGGCTTAATGGGTTAAATTTAGGCATACTAGGCCGGGGGGGGGGGACTCCGTATATGAAAGGGGTGGGGATGATCGTCGTCTCGCTTAGGGTGTTCTGGGCAAAACACTTTTATATTTAGCCGTAAAGGTCTCTTTTAGGGTTGCACTCGAAGAAATAGTAAAACATCATGTATTTTCAATTCGTTTTATTTACTCGATTCATGTAATCAAAGTTTAAAATCATCGATTTTAGGGGTCAAAAAAAGGTTGGGCGACGCCCAGATTTGACTCCTTTAGGGGTTTAATTCAAAATTTCAGACGAGCATTCCCACCCCTTTCATATGCGGAGTTCGCCTTCCCCCGGGGATACTAGGTTTAACCAATTCAGTGAACATAAAAAACGCAAAGTACTCTAACAGCGCTGAAATTTTACGTTTCCACAGATATACAAAAATAGTTAATTACTCTTTAGAGGAATCATTACTAAATGGATAGATATTAGATTCATCACTTTTATGCAAAAGCATCTTGTTTCAATACAAAGTCAAAGGGATTGCAAAACCCACTTCTAATTCTATCGTTTATTTTTCAAACCATTTTTGTATAAGAATGTATTTTTATTTGAATTGTATACATTATGATTTAAAAGCATTACTTTTTATCAATTAACAGTCATGGCAGTAGGTATATCGTATATCTCAAGGCAAAGTGCAGGCTTCTTTAACTCTTTCACTCCAGAATGAACGATGTAATCCTATGAGGTTGTTCAAAGTTTTTAGTCTGCGGACCAAATCCGTTGGTGTGACCATTCAAATGAAACCTCTTTGCTTGGCAGCGCTCTTACGTGGTACTATTTGTTTCTCCGAATTTAATAAAATGAAAGTTGGAATTTCTGTCCAATTTAGACTTTGGTCTTTTCTGTGAGTGAAACAGTTAACGAAACCACTATAGGCGGTGTTAGGATAACAGAAAAAAATGTTAGACAAACATTAAATTCAAAATTAAATAACGCGTTTGTAAATAAACAATACGATATCACGAAATGCTTTAGAACGCTACTTTCTTTCAAGTACAAAAGACTGAAAATATCCCTTTTACTTAGGAAAAAATTTAAATGAACTATATGCTTGTCTACTACTACAAAACGGTCCCAGGTCACCAGGCATGGACCTCGTCTTACACTATTAAATCAGCCCAAAGCCCATTCCTTCCAGGAAAGCTCCCGGATGAAACGGTTGTCCCCTAGCCTCACTCCGGATTACTGAGACTGTGTTCTAAGGGAACAAACCAGTGCCTGATCCGGATCTTGAGATAAGGGAGGAGGAAGGGGGACGGTAATCCAGACGCTGAGATAAGGGGGCTGCCCGATCTCCAATTTTTTTTTTCAGCCCTTCGCGCCTCAGTTTGGTCATGGGTTCCTGGTTTGGTCTAGAAATAAGGGGGGGCGGGCCCCCCAGCCCCCTCCCCCCTCCCCTGGATCCGCCACTGCAAACAATTAACACCACTAAGACGTAGTGAAATCATGTTAAAACGGGACCCAGCTAGTCGTCACCTTTCGAACACGAACATCTCTTGAAACGCTTCTTCTGTGAGGAAGTCATCTCTCTATGAAGGACTGAAAATAAGCCAAACACCTTTTTATGATTGACACCCCTAAGTTAGTTACTTGTTTAAGATGGCCAATGTGTAACACAGACACTACTCAATGGTTGTAACTCGGGGGCTCTTGCTTGTAGTAAGTAAGTCCCCTTATAGGAACACAGACAGAAGCCCGTATTGGGCAGTGCGCTCCCTAGGGTACTTACCACCAGACAGTGGCATGTAAGCCACCTTTTTTAGCGCACCGGAGAAATGTACTGTTTGAATCTGATAAAAAAAGGCGCGAATATAAAAATCGAAGGATTTGAACGCAGAGAAGGGTAAACGGCAAGCGACAGTTTGTTTAGTCCATACCGACCGGAATGAAGGTACGACCTCAAAACGAAGTCCTAAATGTTCGGTTGGAATTTCCGAGAAAATGACCTTAACATTAACCTTCCATCCAAACTTTTCGGAATTTTCGGCTTGGTGGCAAGCGCTTCTGGTATCCGGCATCTGCTCAATACAGGTTTGAGCCAAAATATGTATATCATAAGAATGGGTTTTGGACTTACGAAATACAGCGCCACTGTTTAATACTTTCTTAACGAAAGATCTAGCAAAACATACAAATTAGTCTCTATATATTACTATAAAAGTCTATTGTTTTTTAATTTTTGGCTCCTTTGCTTTCAAATAAGGATTTCATGGCTGTTTTAAGTTTGCTGTTGCCCGCTTTTCCTGAAACGGAATAAACAGAGAAATAACTTTACTAGGACTGAACGTTACACTTAACCACCGTTTACGTTGTAAACAATTTTATCATTTTTCAAATTTTGTTGAGTATAAACCCCCGATCAGTCAAAATGACAAAACCGACACGTGGTTTTGTGATTTTAGCATATAGAGTGTTTTCACTCACGTGGCCTGCATCTATGCAAATTTATTGAAACAAAAGAAAGCGTTTACATAAGAAAAGAGTTCAACTCGCGCAGGACTGGTTTGGGACACAAACATGGCTGCCGTTTCATTGTTTTGGGACACAAATATGGCCGCCATGACGTCATGTGAAAACACACAATTACTCATCTTAAAGATTTAAACTTGCTTTTAAAGCAGAATCCTTGTCTAAGATGTTTACTTTCTGGTAAACGCAATTGATTTCCGCAATACTAATCCACTGGATAGCAAGTTATTCGGTGGATAATGTTACACGCCTTGAGCAACCAGGACCTGTACACTGGAAACAACTTGGTTTACCGTCGACCCACGCAACAACCTGAATTAAAGGAGGAAATGAGATTGGTGCGCTAGTTGAAGGAAAGACTAGCTATTATTGGGCAAGCAAGAACGGTTCCGTATTTAAAAGCATAGGCGTACGGGCCGGGGGGGCGAGGGGGGCTGCAGCCCCCCCAAATTTTGGGCAACTCAGATTTTTTGGGCAGCGAGAGAAAATTTGGGCAAAGCCAGTTTTTAAAGACGTCTCCATTTTATTTAATTATTTAAAGACCTGAATATTAACCTGAAGTCGGCGTAATAATCCAGTTACATTACAGTGGTTGCTTAGCATGCGATGAGTAATTTACATATTTGCAGTTTTTTTTTTGGTTGGGCATTATACTGCACTGCAGTAGCTGGAATGGGCTATTTCCAGTCGAGAATTGATTAAAATAAACTTTCGCATAACCTTCTAGAATCATCTCCACTCGACGAACAGTGTATGGCAGATAGCATTTAGCAATGGGTATTGCCCGCATAGCAAGCGTTTCCGTGCGAGTTCGACTAGAAGCGCTTGCTACGCAGGCTATAATGGGTATGAAAATGAAGAAGTGGCTGACTAATTCTCAGTTTGAATTACGAGAAGAATCTTAATTCGTTTAAAAAATCTATGTAGCGGTTTAAAATTATTCCCTAATTTGTCAAAGTAGACCGAAATGTTTACAAAACCGCTAACAAGAGTGTCTCAATACATACTGATCAAATCCTTCTTTCGATTCTAGCAATCAAGCAGAGCTATCTCCACGATCTTTCACATATGTTTTTAAAAATATTAAAACTACTATGAGGTGAAATTGCAGGTCAAAAGCGCTTCGTTTTCTACAGATAACAGCCAAAAATCAAGATTTTCCTTTTCTTACCGTATTTCTAATAATAAAAACTTCATTGCAAAATATCTCGATAACGCTCTTAAGGTTTTGCTTAAACTTCACGAACATCGAGGCGACCGTATTGAAGAAAAAAGCTCCTGTGAACAATTTTGTAAGGTTCCTGTCCCGAGAATCATTGCTGAAGTAAAATAGGTAATGGAGTCATTTCGTTGCTATGACAACTCCGATGTCATTGCAACCCTGGTGATGACAAATTTTCATCTTAATACAACTGGTCGCAATTTTTCCAAATGTTTGTTTATGGCGACGTAGTTTATGCTCAGACTTGGTATTGATCCTGAAAAACTGTATCGAGCCACCTTCATATGCCAGGACGACCTATGTTGTTGCAATATGGCTCTCATTTCTATTCGACTCTTTCGTAAAAATTTGGGCAACTTGCGAGATGTTTTTGGGCAAATGGTTTACCGCCCCCCCTGGCAAAAAACTTCCCGTACGCCTATGTTTAAAAGCGTCTGGAGGAGTATCAGCAACGTGCTTTATCGATTAGACTCGAGTTGAATAATATGTGCCGTTGTCGCTGTCAGAGAGAATCGCCATGGGCTTTAGGAAAAATTGGCTTTGGACAAAATAAAGAGAACTTATTAAGGTGGCTCGACCTATTACTTTTGTAGGTGCACTTTCTGTCTTTGAATCTCTTACATTTAACGAAATTGACCTTTATTGTAAAAACATTATAACACACGTATTACATATAGACTTAACTTTATTATGATATTTGAGGATGTTAGCATCGACAACGAGTACGAGTTCTAGAACGAGATCAGCGATTTTGCGTACTGCGCATCCGTTCTGCGCATCTCCACGTTTTCAAGTCGTCCTGTCAAGTTGCACTACGACGAGTTCTCACCAAAAACTCGAAGTGGGTAGAACGACTGGGAAGAGCTGGTTTTCAAAGGTAAATTCCGATCGTTTAGTGCAGTTTCTTTTCGCTTCTAGCCTCTCTTTATGATCTGGAACATTCCTTATATTATGTTAAATGTAAAATACAGCTTTTGAAGTGCAGGAAAAGCAACAGAACGCGATATTTCCTACGCAGAGTAAATTTGCATTTACCCGGGAAAGTTTCATGTCTCTCCACAGGCCTCACAGGCTCACAAAATAACCCCGAAAATTGCCATTATTTGCTCGAAAATATCCCAGCAGTCGAAGATATCAATAAAAAATACTTACTTCTTTATCGAGTGTGGTTGTTGTGTTGAATTTGATGGGTTTTAGCGTGTTTTAAGACCGCGACTAACCATCCTTCGAGTTACCTCGAAAAATCGATTTTCCTTTGAAAACTGGAGGATGGACCGTCGAACGATGAACGTTTTTTAGAGTCATTTTTTGTTTTCGAAATTGTTGTGGAAGCGCTACCTGGACTCAAATTTGGCGTCCAGTCATGCGGAATCCAATAATTTTATTTTCTGTAAACTCGAACTCGGTGTCATCGCTAACATAGAAAGCTGAGAAAACGACTTCGAGTACGAGTACGGCTTGAAGTCGTTCTCGTACTCGTACTCGTTGTTGATGCTAACATCCTCTATTACTTTTTTGCGCGATCGGGATAAATATCACGTGACAATGAGAAATTTCCATGCAGCAAGCCAGAATTTACCGTGCCTGGTTGCCCTCTGACGTCTTTTTGAAATATGGTACTGCTGTCGAAAGGGAGAAAACAATAGCGAATAGATTACGGAGGGCAAGCAAGCGCGGTAAATTCTCGCGTGCTGCATAGGTATTTAATGTTTTGCTTAACTCGAGGCAATAGGACATCCCAGAGCAAAAATTTAGCCAGATCTATGGTATCGCTTCAATATTCACCCAATTTTGCGCCCACGTTAGACAACTTCAAAAGTTTTCGATGGACCGGCAAAATGCAAGGATTTGATAGTACACACTGATCAATTGCAGCTCTGAAATTTTTTAAAGAAAATCTATCGACGAATTTTGGTTTAAACGCTGTTTTTGTGAAAGTAGCCTCAGAAATTACAAAAAGAGTTCAACATTGCGTTCGACTGATTCCATGTGTTTTCATGGTTTTTTGAAATCGCTCGAGTGTATTTGCCTTTAGCCGGCTGTAGAGTGCATAAAGGTCATTTCAAAACGAATGAGTGATAAAAACTTTGCGGAAGCATCCAAAAAGTAGTAAATTTGTCTGCATAAAGTCCAGCCTTCAGTTAGTCCCCCTCGCGGCCGTTTTTTGGACATCCAAAAAAGCGGCTGCGAGGGAGACTAATTACCCTACTGCCACCCGGAAAAAAAACCTTAGTGGGCTTATTTTTACATAATTTTAAATACCAGCAGGTAGAGACAATCCTTTCGGACCGATTTTTTATCAACTGCACTTTTCATTGCAATGGCTAAAAATTAAATGGGACTGCAACACGTCTAAGATTTAGTTAAGAGTCCTGCATTTTTGTTTTTGGCGCATGATGCCTTGAAACCAGACTGCTTGAGCGATAAATCATCGAATCAATGGTCGACTTTAAATTGAAAGGAGAATTTCCAACCCTTGAAAACCCAGAAATGAATTATAATTAACGAGTACCTAACTAACCCGAGTAACTAACCCTCGTATATACTGGGAGAAAACAACCTCGCGATGCAGTGCAAAATCTATACCCCGGCCACTATTACCGATAGAATTCAACCAAGCTACAATCTAAGACAGACGAGATTAAAAATTTTTACCGTCCCCCCCCCTTCCCTCCCTCCCAATCAATTCCAAGGATGGTAAAATGGCGCGTTTTGGCTCTTGCGCGGCTTCATCCTTGGGGTGGGGTGGGGGTTTGTTGTTCCTTTCGATTCTGTCCAAGATTGTACTCAACATTATTTGAGATGGGTTTATGAGGAGAAAATACGTGACGGTCATCAAATTAGCATTGACTCAAAGGAAAAGCAGGATGATAAAAATAGGTTGCTTTGACTTTAGACTCTACGGTAGCCTGTGCCAGGCTCTCAGACAGTATAGTAGGAACGTTTTAAAACGAGCAAAGCGAAAATAAGACGCGCACGACTTGGGAAAGGGGGCGGTGGCGGCGGGAAAAATGAGATGCCTCCCCAGCCCCCGCGCGTTATTCGCATTTCTTTTTACTGAACAACTTTCCACCACCATTTCGGAGCCTGGAACAGGCTAACTCTAAGGCGTGTGTCCATCTTAAACACTAAACTCATTAATCACGATGACCTTTGCGTGGGCGGTGAGGGAATAAGTATGTTAGGGGTCAATGCGCATATTTGACGAAAATAAATAACGTGCAATACTAAAGACGTCACAGCACGGTAAAGTACCGTAGATTGCTTTCACTTTAATTTCGACTCGAACTGGCGTGTCCGTCTCTTTTCTCCCTCGGCTGGAATCTGACGAATCTCACTGATTTCATTCCGGAATATATCAACAGTCTACAGTGTGAAAACCCCCAAGTAAGTGTACAATTAGTAGATAAGTAGTCTATAGCGACGGCCATTTCAGAATCGAGCTATTAACGGTTCTGTATGTGTATCGCTTGCCATATTCTCAAACAGAAGATCGTGGGGGTAGGGGGGTTAACATTTGCTTTCACATTAGTACTAAAGGATGGGCCATTCGGTGTCTGAATCGTCTCCGACTAAACTGAGACGCCACAAACATTTATTCTAATGTTAATCAAGAAATGATATCTTGTTCTGCGCCTCGTATTGTGTGCTTGTCTTGAGGTGCAGATAATGTACAACACAGAACTGTTTTGTGATGTTTTAAAATAATACAGTAAGGCACTTAAAATGCATCAGGCAAAAAATGTGACTTTGTGAAGCTGATACTAACAACATGGTGGTACTCATCAAAGAAAAGGGCCCCTTTCTTAAATCTACTGCAATTATTTTGGGAAAAAACACAAAAGCAATACGGTAACCGATAAGTCTACGTTTTTCGCGGAAAGCAAGCACATGACCCCAACACTATATATTATGGTTCCACAAGTTTCCGCTACTTTTCGATCAATGACGCTGAAAACCAAAAACAAATTTAAAGTTTTCGCTGCGCCTAGGCTCAATCAGATCACAATTCCATCCCAAATCGTTTTGTGTAAATTCCTGCTAATAAATTTACGACACCAGCGCCTTATGTTATTTTAACCAGATTGTGCTCAATGAATAACCCCCAACCCCAAAAACAATATTGTCAAGTCCCATTATGGTTCTTGATATTGTTCAGTAAATTAAGTTAAGAATCAATTCATAGTCATATGTATTTTTGTTACAAGACATGGCTTGCGAATGCTGTATTTAGCTAGAAAACTAACCGATAATCAAGAGACTCTTAAAACTATTTACTATTCACTTTAGCAGCCCTAATTTGACTATTGTGATGTTGTATGGGGTGACTGCTCCAAAACACGTGCTGACAAATTGAAAAAGTTGCAAAATAGAGAACCACGGATTATCACTCGGACTGAATATACTCTGTCAGATCATCAGATGTACTAAATTCGTTAGAGTGGTCAAACTTAGAAGAAAAAAGAAAAAGTATTCAATAATAATTGTCCAACGTACCTTCGGGAGCGGTTTCATAGAACCTCTGAAATTCATGACTATAATTTGAGGGGTTCTAACTATGATCTCCAACTATCACTACCTAAAACAAATTTTCTTAAGCGTTCATTTTCTTATCGGGGTGCAATGGCTTGGAACCAACTGTCAAATAAAACACGTGAGATGGGGGATCTTACTAGCTTTAAACTCGCGATATCTTAGGATCTAACTTTTTATTATGTTTTTATCTTATTTCTTTAATACTCATTTCTTGCTGTTATATTGTATTTCGAATTATTAGTATTTTTTTACTACTATTAATAGTCATGATTACCATATAAACTAGATAGTCACGTTTATGACAGTCGATAGGAACAGATACAATTGTCAATTCTTGTGCTACATGTAATTATTGTTAGTTAATCACTAGTCTTAATTTTTATACCTTGTAATTATCACACGGCATGTCTGAAAACGAGCTTGCTGAGCCATTTATCGTGTTTAAATAAAGTTGATTGATTGATTGATTTGATTGATTGATATGCAGGGTTAGAAGAGGGCGAATAGCGGCGAGTCAATATGCATTCCGCACTTGAGCACTTGAATACAGTGCTAATATAGTAGACATTAAATCATAAAATGTTTTCTTCTTTTGAATAAACTTGCAGATCCGACATTGAAACACAGATAATCTACTCATTATAAGGATTTTGAGGTAAATACTGTGCTTGTTGCCCGGAGGGGGGGGGCACTCAAGGGAAGTTTGGGTACGGGGGTGCCGCCAAGGCCTTCAAACCCTGACCCTGTTTAAGACAAAAATGCTTATTTCGCTACCCTCTTTAAGACAGGAGAAACTACTTTCTGACCCTGATTTGTTTTGTTTTGTATACAGACTTATTGGTATTGCAAATGTACACCGCTCATCGCAAGTCTTCACACTCTTTGAAAGACTTCCATTCCAAAAAGACACCCTATTCAAGAGTCACTTAATAGTGAAATTGTATACCCTTTTTAAGACTCAAGACCTTGAAAACCGTACCCTGCCTCAGCGGAACACACCCGTATAGGCCAAATAAAGGAGTGCCCCCCCCCCCCGGGGATTGTTGTCAGCTTTCAAATCCTACAGGGTCAAAGCGAAACGGATCAATGTTTCAGACGTCTGATGTATCTTATTTGCATGCAAGTTAACACATTAAAATCCGTAAATAGGTGCGCAGATTGAAGATATGTTTACATTAAAGTCAATTACGTTTCAGTCGGATAGCAATTTGCAAGTCCCTCCTCCGACCCAGAAAGCACCCCAATGGGCTCATTTCAAATTTACAACATTTTAAAAATCCTTTCCGTCTTCGCTTAAGTAAGATTTTATTGACCAGCAGCTGGAGAAAACCCTCTTTTTCGGACCGGTTTTTTTCGCTAATTAACATAACATGGAAATGGCTGAAAATGAGATTGCAACTTGTCTAAGATTTAGTTAAGAGTTCTGCATTTTTGTTTTTGGCGCATGATGCGAAACGATTTCAACCTTTCTTTCTTGATTTCATTTATTTCCTTTGTCCTTCTCTCCATCCTCCACAGACGAACAGAAAACCTGTTTAAAGAAGTACGTAAAAGAAGACTTTACTCCGTTCTTCAAATTAAATCAACTCCTAAACCGTGATTGCGCCCAAGCTTATATTTTGTATTTGTATCCTGATTTTGTATTTATTTTGCCAAACAGATGAATTACATGATTACAAACACAAACAAATACAAAGTGTAGAAAGTAATGGCGAGGAAGTCTAAAGGAAACTATAAAGCTCGTGATGTTAACTAAGCCTCAATCACAATTTTTCGAAGATGAACTAAAACTTACGGCGACGGATTCAATTACTATCAAAGGAAATTAATAAAAGTAACATTATGTTAAGGAAGTTTACAGATGATGAATATTAAACAGTTTTTTAACACGAATTTCGGCATGATTTTAATCATCTTGCTGCAATTCACATCAGCGCCTAAACCATAGTCGACTTTCTTATCATATGTCTCTTAAACAAACTTTGATTCTATTCTTAAAATGCAAAAACTAGGGCAAGTTTAAAAGTAAAGCATTTTACGTCAGCTTCTTTCGCCTTTTCGAGCAACACATTTTTTACCCTGTTAGCGTAGATTGAGAAGTTTCTCAAAATACTCAACCAAGGAACACCTACTATATTTGGTAGCTTTACTGATTGACATCGATCGAGTTAGTAACGACAATTTAGAACAACAGAAGTTATTTCGCTTAAATCATATTGAGAGATCCTGTATTTTTTTCCCTGATTTATTTTTCCAAAGGTTCCAAGCCTCGGCGTTTCGTCACACATGGCCCTTTCAAAGAAATACACCGAGGAACAGCTAAACTACTTCAGAATTTGTTATGTAACTACTGATATACTAGCTGAAGGCCTCAGAGAGCTTTTTAAACGTGAGTGGGACAATCAATACAGATCAACACCATTGGGAGAATGGAAAGATGTGGCCCAGAATGGAACGGACTTTTACAACGGCGAGTCTCCAAGAAATCAGAGAAGAAATGCTCATCTTTTGGCCACTATGATAAGTGGAAGCAGAGCGGAATGGGATTGCACAATGCTCTTTTATGCCATCCTTTACTCTGATTGTGTCGGGCCCTACCTTGCCTCAACAGTCAGAAACAATGTAGATAACCTTAGAAATTTTAGGAACGAGGAATTCGCCCACATACCACAGGGAAGTTTCCCTGAGATCGATTTTCAGAATGCTATTAGCAAAGTTCATGTGGCGTTCCATGCGCTTGGTCTCTCTACTGTAAAAATCGATGAGATAAAAAATCAGAAAACTTTCCCAACCGACGAATTAGATAACATTCTGAAAGAGATTGACGATCTTAAACAAGAACTTCAAGAAAAAGAGAACCAGCGCCAGGTTCTTGAAGATCAGCTTCAGAAAGAAGCGCCTTCATTCTGTATTCTCCCTCCTAAACCTACACACGAAATTGAAAGCCGTGAAAGGGAAGTAGCACAAATAGCCCATCAGCTAAGCGAACTAAAGAAGGCCAACGAGAACAGGTTGAGTTATCTGTACATCTCAGGGAATCCAGGAAGTGGCAAATCACAACTAGCTGGCCTCGTCGCTAAAAAAATCTTTGATGAAGTAAAAGAAATACCAGGCACTTCGTCCTTTGTGATGACCATAAACGCTGCCAGTCAAAATTCACTTTTGGAGTCATATGCCAATTTTGCTCGTCAGTTAAAGTGCCCAGACTTTTCAGTGATACAAACCTTGAGCTCTAAGGATTGGAACATTGAGGAGAAGATTGCCAATCTCAAGATGCTTATTGCAGCAAAAATTGGGTGTTACACGTCGTGGCTAATGGTGGTGGACAATGTGACTAAACTGAATTTTGTACATGATCACCTACCACAGTCTGGAACTGAGACGTGGGCAAAAGGTCAGTTGTTAATTACAACCCAGGATACAAAGTCCATCCCGTTAAAAAGCTCTTTTATCAATCACATTTCAGTAAGCCAAGGAATGAATCCTTACGATGCCACTTCCTTATTGGCCAAGCTTTCTGGGGTCTTCGACAACGAGCTGGCCGAAAACGTTGCCCAGAAATTGGACTATCAGCCACTCGCTTTAGCAGGCGCGGCTGTGTTTGTCAAAGACATTCGACAGGACAAAGCATCGAAGCACTTTGGCTGGGACGAATACCTAAAGATTTTACAAAAAGGAAAACGAGAAACGACCGAGGATACCCTTGTTGATACCAACCCAATTTATCCAAATACGATGACTACAGCAATAACTTTAGCTGTCGAAGCACAAGTTAGATCCGACAAGTTTTTTGAACACCTATCCAGATTTCTTTCTCTGTGCGCACCACAACCATTAAACGTTGACATAGCAGTTAGTTACCTTATAAACGTTCTCCACCACGATGACAAAGAGGACAAGGAACACATTCGCAGGAGATTCAGGACATGTTCACTGCTTCTTTTAAAGGAAGACGAAGATAGTTGCTTCTACATTCGTATACATCAGGTTGTGCACGACGCAATGAAATGGGTGATGAGTGACTGTACAGAGAATCAAACGATCAAGGTCGTAAGTGAAGCTGTTACATCATTTAACAAATTTATAGCCACAATTCCACACGAAAGAAGAACAATGGACACTATGTACATCATTCCGCACATACGCGCCCTTATTACGCCAATTAATACAGTTATTACGACAGAAAATGTGTCTCAAGTTTATGTTCAGGACATTTCTGAAAAATTGTCGAATCTTGGCAACATATGTAAAATGCACTGTGAATTTAACGTGGCAGAGAAATACTTGAAAAGCTCTCTCGCTGTTCGCATCAGGCTGTTGGGTGATCAAAATGTTGATGTTGCATCTGGGTACAATGACTTAGCTTTAGTTTACAAGGCCTTAGGTGACCCTGAACAAGCAAAGGAGTATCACCAACGTGGTTTAGCCATCCAACTCAAGAAGCTTGGTGCTGAACATGTTTCTGTTGCAACAAGCTACGGTAACCTAGCTACAATTCACCACGACTTAGGTGACCTTGAACAAGCAAAGGAATATCAGCAACGTGGTTTAGCCATCGAACTCAAGAAGCTTGGTGCTGAACATGTTTCTGTTGCAACAAGCTACGGTAACCTAGCTTCAATTCACAAGGACTTAGGTGACCTTGAACAAGCAAAGGAGTATCAGCAACGTGGTTTAGCCATCCAACTCAAAAAGCTTGGTGCTGAACATATTTTTGTTGCAACAAGCTACGGTAACCTAGCTACAATTCACAAGGCCTTAGGTGACCTTGAACAAGCAAAGGAGTATCAGCAACGTGGTTTAGCCATCAAACTCAAGAAGCTTGGTGCTGAACATGTTTCTGTTGCAACAAGCTACGGTAACCTAGCTTCAATTCACAAGGACTTAGGTGACCTTGAACAAGCAAAGGAGTATCAGCAACGTGCTTTAGCCATCCAACTCAAGAAGCTTGGTGCTGAACATGTTTCTGTTGCAACAAGCTACGGTAACCTAGCTACAATTCACAAGGCCTTAGGTGACCTTGAACAAGCAAAGGAGTATCAGCAACGTGGTTTAGCCATCTTTCTCAAGAAGCTTGGTGCTGAACATGTTTCTGTTGCAACAAGCTACGGTAACATAGCTTTAATTCACAAGGACTTAGGTGACCTTGAACAAGCAAAGGAGTATCAGCAACGTGCTTTAGCCATCCAACTCAAGAAGCTCAGTGCTGAACACGTTTCTGTTGCAACAAGCTACGGTAACCTAGCTTCAATTCACCACGACTTAGGTGACCTTGAACAAGCAAAGGAATATCAGCAACGTGGTTTAGCCATCGAACTCAAGAAGCTTGGTGCTGAACATGTTTCTGTTGCAACAAGCTACGGTAACCTAGCTTCAATTCACAAGGACTTAGGTGACCTTGAACAAGCAAAGGAGTATCAGCAACGTGGTTTAGCCATCTTTCTCAAGAAGCTTGGTGCTCAACATGTTTCTGTTGCAACAAGCTATGGTAACCTAGCTTCAATTCACAAGGCCTTAGGTGACCTTGAACATGCAAAGGAGTATCAGCAACGTGCTTTAGCGATCAAACTCAAGAAGCTTGGTGCTGAACATGTTTCTGTTGCAACAAGCTACGGTCACCTAGCTTCAATTCACAAGGACTTAGGTGACCTTGAACAAGCAAAGGAGTATCAGCAACGTGCTTTAGCCATGAAACTCAAGAAGCTTTTCTAACTGTTGTGGTTGAACCCTGGAGAGACGTATAGGGAGCTGGAATTGAATCCCAGCTTTTGCTCTTTCCTTCTCCTCGCGATACGTGACCTCCTCTGTCCTAACGGAGAGCTTGTAACACACTAAGCCTGGTAAGGTAATAGCGGATTTCCGAGGGAGCCTTATTGCTATTGCTGTACACAACAGCATGTAAGCCGATGTCAAATCTCATTTACACGACTACATAAAATGAGAATACCCCGCCAGTTATATATGCTACAAATATGAAGATTAATTGACAACTGTCAAAATCGGGCAACCGCTGACTAATATCGCATGACCTTCACGCTGGTTCAAGTTGTAAGACCAGTCCTTTTCCCGTACGTGTAAGAAGATATAAAATGTCACACTTACTGACATAGGGCTATTAGATCAATGGTTTAAGTCACAACAGGGACTCTATTACGATAGAAATGGAAACGTATAGATACAAAATATTTTGGTAGTCATGTGACCGCTACCTACACTTTGGAAGAGAAGAAAAACCAACATAAAGCCGAGTCTCTTCCTCGACTAAATTTTAATGTCTTCATTGACGTGGATGATAGACATAGATTGACGTTGGAAGAAAAGTATGAAATTTTTATAGCGGTGGTAAGAAAATGAGAAGTGCTAGCGACCAGCAAGGTGAAAATGAGCGGCAGTGCCAAAATATCGAACAGGAAGACAGGCAAGAACATACGACATTTCTTACATACACGTTTTTTAAACTAGGAAGGTTCATGTTGTTGTTGTGCAACAACAAAGGGAGACAAATGTACAAAAAAATGTGCTGCACAATTAGACCTTTCTCGTTACCGTTGCCGTTGAGAATTACACTACTGTATTTTATTTTTTGATGGAGTGACTTATAAGTATATTAACGAGAGTTTCGCTTTTAGCCCTGGCAGCATGGGAAAGGAGCTATTGATGCATCTTGTTAACAAAAACGAAGATTTTCAAGGTCCACTAATGAGTTAGTGTGGAGACAGCCTGAGATCCAGATACAAAAAAAGAGAGTAAAGTTTGTTGCTATATTCCCATTTTATTTCATTTACTTTCACTACCCGCATAAATTCAGGCATAGGTTTGCCCAATATAGTGAGGATACAAATTGCAAAGTAATCTCAGCGATAAAATTTCACGTTCCGACAAGTGTACAAAAATACTTAATTATTCTCGCCTTAGAGGAATCATTACTAAATGGATAGATACTAGATATATCACTTTTATGCAAAAGCATCTTGCTTTTACACAAAGTCAAAGGGATTGCAGAATCAATTTCTAATTCTGTCGTTTATTTTTCAAACTATTTTTTATATAAGAATGAATCTTTTTTGGAATTGCTTTTTACCAATTAAGAGTCATGGCAGTAGGTATAACATATATCTTAAGGCAAAGTGTAGGCTTTTTCTAAATAACTCTTTCACTCCAGAACGAATGATCTATGAGGTTGTTCTAACTTTTGAGTCTGTGGATGAAATCCGGTGGTGTGACCATTTAAATGAGATCTCTTTGGCAGTACTTTCACATGGTACTGTTTATTTAGTATGTAGTTCTTACTTTTGAGTCTGTGGACGAAATCCGTTGGTGTTACCATTCAAATGAAACATCTTTGGCAGTGCTCTTATGTTGTGCTATTTGGTTCTCCGAATTTTATAGAATGAAATTTGGAATTTCTCTCCATTTTAGACTTTGGACTTTTCTGTGAGTGAAAGAGTTAAAGCAACCACCATAGGCGTTGTTAGGATAACAGAAAAAAAAAATGTTAGACAAACATTAATTCAAAGTTAAATAACGCGTTTGTAAATAAACAGTACGATCTCACGCAGTGCTTTGGAATGCTACTTTCTTGCACGAAAAAAATCCCTTTTACATAAAGAAAAATGTTAATGAACGATATGCTTGTCTACTAAACGGTCACAGGTCACCAGGTATGGAGCTTGTCTTACAGTATTAAATCCGCCCAAAGCCCATTTCTTCCAGGAAAGCTCCCGGATGAGATGGTTGGCCCCTGGCCCTAGACTACTGAGACTGTGTTCTAAGGGAACAAACCAATGCCGGATCCAGACTTTGAGATAAGGGGGGCCCGGTCATCCAGACCCAGAGATAAGGGGGGACGGGGGTGGCCGGTCCAAAAAAAAATTTTCGGCTCTTCGGGTCTCAGTTTGGTGGAAAAATAAGGGGAGCGGGGCCCCCTGGCCCCTCCCCTGGATCCTCCACTGCAAACAATTAACACTACTAAGACGTGGTGAAATCATGTTAAAACTGAACCCAGCTAGTCGTCACCTTTCGAACATGAACCTCTTAAAAATGCTTCTTCTGTGAGGTAGACATCTCTCTATGAAGGACTGAAAATAAGCCAAATGCCTTTTTATGTTTGACACCTTTAAGTTAGTTACTTGTTTAAGGTGAAAAAGCGTAACACAGACACTACTCCGCGGTTGTGACTCGGGGGCTCTTCCTTGTAGTACGTAAGTCTGCTTACAGAAACACAGACAGAAGCCAGTATTGAGCAGTGCGCTCCCTAGGGTACTTACTACCAGACAGTGGCATGTAAGACACCTTTTTTAGCGCACCAGAGAAACGTACGGTTTGAATGTTATAAAAAAAGGCGCGAATATAAAAAGGGCAAGATTTGAACGCAGTGAAGGGTAAATGGTAAGCGACAGTTTGTTTAGTCCATACCAACCGGAATGATTGGACTACCTCAAAACGAAAGTCTTAAATGTTCTGAATGTTTGGTTGGAATTTCCGAGAAAATAACCTTAACATTAACCCTCCATCAAAACTTTTCGGGATTTTCGGCTTGGTGGCAAGTGCTTCTGGTATCCTGTATCTGCTCAATACAGGTTTGAGCCAAAATATGTATATCATAAGAAAGGGTTTTGGACTTACTGAATACAGCGGCCGACTGTTTAATACTTTCAAATAAGGATTTCATGGCTGTAGTTCGCTGTTGCCGCTTTTCCTGAAACAGAATAAACAAAGAAATAACTTTACCGACTGAACGTGACAGTTAACCACGGTTCACGTTGCACACAATTTTATCATTTTTCAAATTTGTTTGTTGAGTATAAGCCCCGGATCAGTAAAAGTGAAAAAACCGAGACGTGGTTTTCGTGATTTTAACATTTTTCTCATCTTAAACATTTAAACCTGCTTAAAAGCGGCATCCTCGTCTAAGATGTTTGCTTGCTGGATAAAGCAAATTATTTCCACAATACTAGTCCATTGGATAGCAAATCACTCGGTGGAGAATGTTACACGCCTTAGGACCTATACACTACAACAACTTGGTTTACCCTCGCAACAACCTAAAGGAGGAAATGAGCTAGTTTCGCTAGTTTACGGAAAGAATATTATAGGACAAGCAAGAACGGTTCCGTATCTAAAAGCGTCTGCTTGCAAATTAAAGTAAACAGTTTTGAACTACTATTACTCTCACTATCGATTATAGAGGCTTGCAATAGTGTTCAAATTTGCGATTTTGTGAGTGAAAATAATCCAATAGCGACTTTTTCATCAGTCGGTCTTTGTCTGATACTGAGGCCGGTATAACGGGTCACGGAAACTAGCCCTCTCTCCTCCTTCTTTTCTCTTCCTTTCCATTTCTTGTTCCATCTTCCAGCTACCAATTAAGATATCGGAAAACAAGGAAAGTTAGTTTGCCAGCGAAATATACAGCATGAAAACAACAAACTGGGTTGAGGGAAACTCAAGCACCAAAATATGAGATAGAGAGTAAGGCCGTTTATACAAGGAAAAACAAGACGTGTCCTAAATAAGACGCAAACTGTACCGTATAACCGGCACATTTCGTCTGAAAAAGACGCGTCTTATCCAGGAACAGCCCTTAGATAAGACGCGTCTTATTTATTGAAAGTCGCGTCTTATTTCAAACGAAATCACGTGCCGTTTGTACGGTCAAGTTTGCGTCTTACTTAGGACGCGTCTTATGTAAGACGCGCCGTTTTTTTCTTCCTATAAATAGTCCTAATATATAATATCTTTGGACTACATTCAAAGAGTTTTCTCGGAAGATGAATTCTCTACTGTCAACAGTTACTGGTTTTTCCTCATTCGAGTCTGGTTTCATATCTGCCGCTTGATACCAGGTTTTCCTATACGTATAGTATAAGCCGTAAGACGAGTAACATGACTTCTGGTGCTTAGAAGCAAAAGACAATACTTCCTTTCACGGAGGCTACCGAGTTGCACAAGTTCCACGTGTTCTTACGTTTGGTACCTAACGCACGTTTTTCCCGCCTTTGTCACTCATTGTAAGTTTCCCGCCATTCGCACACGTTGCATGTTCTACAACACCTGGTACTATGGTATGTTTTCCTGCGCGCAGCATTTCTAGCATCTTTTCGCGTCCTTTGCATCAGTTACTTGTTTTCCAGGGAAAACGCCCCCTTTGTTCACGTTTACATTACATTAAATATTCTTATTGGGTAGAACTACAAACTACTTACTTGGATAACACTTTTTCTTTTATTCTTACCCCTATAACACACAAATGAGAAGACAAAAAAAAGTGCTTAGGGGAAACATCTACCTCACGCAAGCAGAGAAGAGGCCGGGGGGGTACTGCCATATATGGGCTAAATAGGTATGTGCCGCTGTGAAGGGTATGGTTTTTCAAGCAGTTTACTCTAGGATAGGTATATAAATCAGAGAGTTTGGGTCTAGAATTGGGTATCATTTTTCAGGAAACTGATCAGTTGGTTGAAGATTTTATCTAGACTAGGGACTGTGATATAAGGTTTTGTTTTGGCTAGACTACTGTGCTAGTGACCTCAGTAGTTTCTGGAAAAGAGCTACTCTAGGATAGGGGGACCGACTTGGGGAGTTTACTCTAGTATAGGGTAGCAAAATCCAGCGGAACTAGCTGTGGTATAGGTTAAGGGTTCCAGGGTCCCAGCGGCACGTCCCCACCTAGAAATTCCTAAAGTACCCCCCCCCCCCGGGGGGGAAGAGGG